TCTTTCCCTTGCTCAGCGATGCCTGTTTCCTCACCTTCTGGAAAGCCTGAACTCCTGTCTCCTCTCTCACTCCCGTGCCTAGAATCCTGTATTCTTCCCTAGTCAAAGTTTCCTCCTCCTCCTCCTCCTCTTCCCCCTTCTCCTATGCAGGTGCCACTCCTGTTTACGTTATCAGGCTCGTATGATTGATTTCCCACTTCCTTCCCTTTTCGTGGACTCTTCTAGTGAGGTATTAATGGGGGGGGGGCTGACTCCTTGTACTGAATTGGTCTTCCAGGGTAACCCCCTTATGGAGGGGGACTGATGGACAAAGAAAGGTGGGAAGTAGCTGGAAAAGGACATAAACAAATGTACGGTGCTTCCTTTCTAGTGAGGCAGACCACTGGTCCATCTAGCCCACTCCCATCTTTCTCTATCCAAGATCCTTTTTCTTTTAAGCCGGGGAAGCTAGGGCTTGAAGCTGAGCCTGCTTGCAAAGCATGGATGGGGTTTAACATTCAGTTGCGATGCCTCTTCCACATGATGGCAAAGAGGGCTGCTTTATACTATGATTAAAAGCAAAAAAACCCCCAACAACCCCAAGTTCTCTGCCCCCCCCCCAACGTCTTCATTTAGAATAAATTATGCAGATCTGCATTTTGCTTGTATCTGCATAATTGTGGTTGCTGTTCTTAAGATTGATGGGCTGAGGGCAAACAGTGTGGACTGGGGACACTGATACGCGATTGCTCAGTCCCCACCACTTTGGTATTGCCTGTCCTCCTGTGTAAGACTCAGAACTGGGGTTCTCATTAAGCCAAGTGTTGCAGCAGAGTCTGGATGCTGGCCACTGCCCAGTGCAGAATTAAGTGCACTTAAGACGATTGATTTCAGTTGGAGGTCCAAAGCAGAAGGGAGACTGTAGCAGTCCTTGTCAGCATACCCAGGACAAAAGGTCTTCCTGGAAACGGCTGCCAAGTGAGAGGCAGCCTAGTGTTTTGCATGAAAATGTCCACACTTCTCCCTCTGGTTCCCTTTCTCTATGCAAAAACAAATTGTCTGGCAGAGCTGACTTAAAGGAGCTGTAGCTCTCTGGCCTTGTGAAGCGTGCCCTATAGCCACGCTGC